CATCCCCACAAGTGCCCTCCTCCATGCCCATCCCTCCTCCCCCCCACATCCATCAGTCCTCAGTTTTTGTCAGCATTCAAGAGTCTCTCATGGTTTGGGCCATAGCCATTCTTAAACAGAGAAGAGTCATGATGGTAAATTTTGGTGAGGTTTCCCATAGGACAGTGTGCAGTAATTAAAATGTATATAGGCGTGTCTCATTTTATTGTGTCTTGCTTTATTGCACTTTACAGATACTGCGTTTTTTACAAACTGAAGGTTTGCGGTGACTCTGCTTAGGACATATCGGTGCCACTTTTCCAAACGCTTTTACTCACTTATATCTCTGTGTCACATTTTGGTACCTCTTTGCAATTTTTCAAACTTTTTCATTAATATTGTTACATTTGTCATGGTTATCTGTGACCAGTGATCTTTTATGTTACTATTGTAACTGTTCGGAGCATCACAAACCATGCCCATATAAGATGGCAGACCTAATCGATAAATGTGTGCCCTCTGAACTCTCTACCTACCGGCCAGTCCCATCTCTGTCCCTCTCCTCAGGCCTCCCTGCTCCCCGAGACACAGCCATATTGAAATCAGGCCAAGTAACAACCCTACGATGGCCCCTAAGTGTTCATGTGAAAGAGTCATACATCTCCCACTTTCAGTCAAAAGCTAGAAATGATTAAACTTAGCGTCAAAAGCCAAGAAGTTAGGCTTCTTATTATAAGCAAGTTGTACCTGCAAAGAAAGGTTCTTGAAGGAAATTAAAAGTGCTCCCACAGCAAACACATGAATGATAAGAAAGCAAACTAGCCTTATACATGGAGGAAGTTTGAGTGGTCTGGATGGAAGATCAAACCAGCCACAATATTCCCTTAAGCTGAAGTTAGGGACTAATGCAGCTGGTGACTTTAAGAGGAAGCCAGTGCTCGTGTAACATTCCAGAGGCCCTAGGGCCCTTAAGAATTAGGCTAAATCCACTCTACCTGTACTCTGTCAATGCAACAACAAAGCCTGGGTGACAGCACATCCGTTTCCAACATGCTTTACTGAATATCTTAAGCCCACTGTTGAGATCTACTGCACGGAATAAAAAGATTCCTTTCAAAATATTACTGCTCACTGACAATGCACCTTGTCGTCCAAGAACTCTGATGGAGATGGACAACGCGATTCATGTTGCTTTCGCGCCTGCTAACACAACTTGCGCTTTGCAGCCCATGGATCAAGTCATTTCAACTTTCAAGTCTTATTATTTAAGAAATGCACTTTGTAAGGCTGTAGCTACCGTAATAGTGATTCCTCTATCGGATCTGGAGGAAGTAAATTGAAAAACTGCTGGAAAGGATTCACTATTCTAAACGCCATTAAGAACATTCATGATTCATGGGATGAGGTCAAAATATCAACATTAATAAGCGTTTGGAAGAAGTTGAATCTAGCCCTCATGGATGACTTTGAGGGGCTCAAGACTTCAGTGGAGGAAGTAGCTGCGGATGGGGTGGAAGCAGCAAATGCCTAGAATTCGAAGTAGAACCTGAAGATGGGGCTGAATGGCTGCAGTCTCACAATCAAACTTCAATGGACAAGGAACTGTTCTGATGGATGAACAAAGACGGAGGTTTCTTCTTTTTTAAACATTTTTTAATGTTTATTTATTTTTGAGAGGGGGGGAGGGGAAGAGAGGGAGACAAAGAATCCCAAACAGGCTCCAGGCTCTGCGCTGTCAGCACAGAGCCCGACGCGGGGCTCAAACATGGGAATGATGAAATCATGACCTGAGCCAAAATCGGACGCTTAACCACCTGAGCCACCCAGGCGCTGCCCCACAACAGTGGTTTTTTTGAGATAGAATCTGCTTCTGGTGCAGATTACGCTAGATTGTTGAAATGACAACAAAGCATTTAGAATATCACATAAACTTAGTTGATGGAGTGGTAGAAGGGTTTGAGAGGATTGACTCTAATTTTGAAAGTTCCACTGTAGGTAAAATGCTATCAAAGAGCATCACTTGTATAGAGAAATCGTTTGTGAAAGGAAGAGTCAATCAATGGGGCCAATGTCATTGTCTTATTTTAAAGACAATGCTGGGGCACCTGGGTGGCTCAGTTGGTTGGACATCAGACTTCAGCTCAGGTCATGATCTCACAGCTTGTGAGTTCAAGCCCCACATCAGGCTCTGTGCTGACAGCCTGCTTCAGATTCTGTGTCTCCCTCTCTCTCTGCCCCTCTCCTGCTCACCCTCTCTCTCAAAGATGAATAAACACTAAAACAATATAAAAGATTTTTTGAAAAAGAATTGCCACAGCCAGCCTAGACTTCGGCAACCACCACCCTGATCAGCCAGCAGTCATCAACATCCAGGTAAGACCTTCCACCAGCAAAAGGGGTGCCTTGCTGACAGCTCAGATGATGGTTAAATTTTTTAGCAATATTCTTAAATTAAGGTGTGTTGTCTGTTTTTTAGATATAATCTTCTTGCACACTTTATTAAATAGACTGTAGTATAGTGTAAACATAACTTTTATATGCACTTGGAAACCAAAAATTAATTCAACTCACTTTACTGTGATGTTCATTCCCTCGCAGTTGTCTAGAATCCAACCCACCATATCCCTGAGGTGTGCCTGTATTTATGAAGACTATTTTAATAAAATGTAAACTTATGTTAAAATATTTTAGGAACACAAAATTATACATATTATGATCTCAATTCAAAAATGTCTCTTTAGGGGCACCTGGGTGGCTCAGTCAGTTAAGCGTCCAACTTCAGCTCAGGTCATGAGCTCACGGTTCGTGTGTTCAAGCCCCGCGTCGGGCTCTGTGCTGACAGCGCAGAGCCTGGAGCCTGCTTTGGATTCTGGGTCTCCCTCTCTCTCTCTCTGTGCACCTCCCCTGCTTGTGCTCTGTCTCTGTCTCTCTCTCAAAAATAAGTAAACAGTAAAAAAAAATTTAACATAAAAAACCCAAAACTGTCTTTTTAGAAAAGAACCTAAAGGAATATATATTTGTATTTAAAATATATAAATAAATCACAGACATACAGATGATCTATATGTTGAAATTGGTGGATTGTGAATGGATTTTCTTCTTCCCATTTTTCTATTTTCAAATTTCTCTAAATGAAAATTATTTTCTTTTCAGATAGGGAAAACCTTAAGGCCTTACTGTCTTAAAATTACTTGGTCTCGGTAAATGTTTAAAAAGAGAAAATTCTGAGAAACCAAAAAACCAGAAACAAGTTGTTTTTTAAAAAACTGAAGAAGTTCCTGAGAAATTCTTTAAACTGGTAGTATTCTTGGGCCGCCTGGGTGGCTCAGTCGGTTAACCGTCTGACTGTGGCTCAGGTCATGATCTCACAGTTCATGGGTTTGAGCCCCATGTTGGGCTCTGTGCTGATGTCTCAGAGCCTGGAGCCTGCTTCAGACTCTGTGTCTCCCTCTCTCTCTCTCAAAATAATAAGTAAACATTAAAAAATATTTTTCAATAAAAAATTAATTGGTAGTATTCTTAGGGCTAGGCCTCAGCACACACTCAGAACATACTAGGGGTGAGAAAATGGAATGGATTTCGTTATATGGAAAAGCATCGTTCCTTGGGTAGACGAGGCCCAGTGTGGGGTCGGGAAGCCCTAGACCATGAGCTCCCTGGCTTCCAATCCAGGTTCTGCCACAGGCCACTTGCACCTCCTGAGCCTGTTTTCCCGAACCAGAAATCAGCCAGAGTGGTACATTTGATTTCACCATATACAAATGGCTAAAATGAATTGGCAAAGGATGCCTTCTGGAGACTGAAGGACCCTTGTCTTGGCTGGGAGTAAGGCTGGTGGCTAACGGCCCTCAGGGGCCAGGGGCATCAAGAGAGGTTCTGCTCAGAGGCACTGGGTGAGGTGCAGATGCAACGTCTGCCGAAGGAGAGGCAGGGCTGGGGCAGAGCCAGCTGACAGGAGGGGAGGCAGCCAGCCTCCTGCTCCCTCACCAGGCCCTCAATTACACCCGCCCCCGCTGTTCCCGGGCTAATTGTTTCTGAAGCGCAAGCCCATCCATCTCCCTACTTGGCAGCAACAGCATCCACAGGCTTCTCTGTCCCCAACCCAAGATCCTGCGTAGCACAGGGCACATCCTGCTTTTCTCCTGCACTTGGGCAACCCACTCCAGCAACCTCTGTGCCTCAGGGGGTGGTCTGGAGACTGCACTGAACATGGACTGAAGCCAAACTGGGGAAGGCTGGATCCCGAAGGCACAGGCTTGCTGCAACCCTTAGAAGAGAAGGTGCCAGGGAGCTTGCATGGTCCGTGCCATGCCCCCCACCCACCGAATCAGGACCGCTGAGGGTAGGACCTGGAAATGGCATTTTATTTATTTATTTAAAAAAAAAAGTTAATGTTTATTTTTGAAAGAGAGGCAGAGCATGAGGGGGGGAGGGGAAAAGAGAGAGGGAGACACAGAATCCGAAGCAGGCTCCAGGCTCTGAGCTGTCAGCACAGAGCCCTGATGTAAGGCTCGAACTCATGAGCTGTGAGACCATGAACTGAGCCAAAGTCGGACGCTTAACCAACTGAGCCACCCAGGCGCCCCTGGAAATGGCATTTTAAACAAGCTCCCCACAAAAGCCTGGTGTCCCAAGTTCGAGAACCACTGGCCTCACGTCTGCTTGGAAGTACATATTCCCACATGTACCTGGCTATCCTGAAAGGCTGGAAGTGAGGAAGTAGGAGGTGGAAAGGACGCTAGCCCCCCAAAGTGATACAAGAGGGGTATGCCCTGGACCTGGGGCCAAGTGTCTACTTCAGAGGGGGCAGGCTGGATGAGGGCCTGGGGTGGCAGAAGGGTCCCTGGGAGCCTCTCCTCCCACCCAGCTTCCCTCGTTAGTTTCCACGTGCACAAATACACATCAGCCAGGCCCAGGCCCCCCGTTTAGGGTTCCCTGTACCTCTACCCACAAGGCGCCTGGATCCACCCTCAGCCACCCCCACCATGACTCTCCCTCTCCCCAACAGATACCCCACCTGCCTCATTACTTAAATAATCTTTATTTCTCATGCACTAGGAAAGATGGGATTGTGTGAAACACTGCATTTCACAGCAAAGACTCCAGTCCAGAACACAACACAGGGGACCAAGTGGATTCAGGTCTGGCCAAAGCTCTGGGGACCACAGTGGGGATACCACCCCCAGGGCTGGTGACAGATTCAGGACCCTCCAGCTGCAGTGGCCCCAGATACAACACAGGGCGGCTGCCCCCCCCCCCCACAGAGGCACAGGAAGCTGACGCCCAGGGGCATGTAGGCCGGGGGAAGGACGAAGAAGGCTGCTAGGCAGTGACTTGCTGGAGGCGGTGCTCCAGCACGTGAGGCCCGAGTCCAGGCAGCCAGGGCTGTGACTGAGCTCTCGGCCCAACCCTGCCCACTGCGGCGCTGCTGGAGCCCCATAGACCCCCAGCAGGTACGCCCCGGCCCCACCGGACTGCTCCCCAGCCACATACACGAGACAAAATCTGCCCAGGCAGGACCCCCAGGGCTAGAGGGGCCAGCCCCCCTCAGCTGTCGCTAGCCCCTGCGGACACTTAGAGGCCCACAGGACAGCCAGGCTGCAGAGGTTCCTGGGACAGGGACATGGGCAGGGCGGCCCGCAGAGCTGGGCCTTCAGGCCCGGACGAGGGCAAAGCCGATTCTGGGCACTACTGCCACAGAGGTGGCACGGGGACAGAGCCAGGCTGGAGACATGCAGGACAGAACAACAAAGACCGGACACATGCAGACGCAACAGGGTGGGAGGGGTCTGAGGATGAAATGTGGCCGAGGTGCTGAGACGCAGGGGCCCCTGTGTGGGCCGGGCTCACTGAGGCCCCGGGCTTGTGGTGACACCAGCCTCCTCCGGGATGGTCTCCAGGGTCTCACTCTGGACAGCTTGCGTGATGAGCGCCAGCTCCTGGCACAAGGTCTCGTAGCGGTAGCCCACACGGATGTCCGGCACGTTAGTACGGCGGATGTCGTTGCCCTCGGGGCCCTCCTTCGTATAGTTGGGTCCCAGCCAGTGGCTCTTCACCTGCAGTGGGCACGGTGATCGGGAAGGCCTGCAGCCAGCTCTTAGGGGCCCGCCCCCGGCCCTGAACCATCCCGGGCCAGCACCCCTGGGACTTTCCCCAAGGCAGAGAAGGAGAGGAGAGGGTGGCCGCCAGGTGGCAGGCAGGTGGCTGTGGTACCTTGTGGGAGAAGCCGCTCATGAGCACACTGTTGCGGGCCAGCTCACACATGTCGCAGGAGCTGAGCTTCCACACCTGGGTGGCGATGCTATACTCCTCCATCAGTGGCTCCTGCACAGGCCCGTTTCCCTCAGACAGGTGCCCCTGGGCCGGCCACCCAGTCCCTGCCCACCCCTGCCCTCAGCCAGTACCGGCGCCCCATTCCCCCCCCACCCCCACCTCGGGGGTTTGCCATGACCGTTGCACACTGCACCAGCAGGGGGCAGCACCAGCCCTGAGACCCAGGTGCTGGGGGGGGCGGTGCCCTTTGCCTCCCAGAACCATGGCTGGCCTGGTCACCCTCCGGGCCCTGACCTTGGTGAAGTGGAACTGCAGGGGATCATCAGTGGACAGCGAGACCATGAGGCCACGGGACAGGTACTCAGGTAGTGGGTTCCGGTGGTAGCTGAGGAAGAGGCTGTTATTGCTGAGCGGGGACATGGCGATGCCGATCTGGGCCAGGTAATACAGGTACTGCAGGACTGGGGCCTGCACGGGCAACAGTGAGGGGGCCTGTCAGATGGCCTCAAGGCTGGGGAGGGCACCTGGGCCTGGAGGACACAGGCCCCAGGAGCAGGAGACGGGGAGGTATGAAGGGTCATTTACAGCCCAAATCCAAGCTAGGGCCTCCCTGTGGAGGCTAGGGATGAGGCAGAGTCCAAACTGGGGGTTTGGTGAGAAGGAAGATAAGCTGCTGAAGAGGCCCAAAGGGTTGAAAGGAAGGTGAGCAATTGGGAGGGGGCGCTGCGGATGCACATGCTGACCTTGCGCAGGAGCAGCCCGTGAGAGATGTTCTCCGCCAGCATGAAGGCCGACACCAGGTGGTGGATGGGCCCGGCTTCCCCACAGTGCGGCCTCAGCACAAACGTGTGGAAGCCCCTCTGCCTGGGGGCGCAAGGAGAACATCAGCTCCCGAGCCTGGGCTCCTGCGCTCCCACCCAGTGACTGTGTGGGCCTGGGAAAAGGGGCCAGGGCCAGGTCCTTGGCTCTGAGCGGTGAGCCACGGAGCCCTGGTGGCACAGAAAGAGCCCCTGGGTCCAGGAATTGGGGCAGGAGGAGGGGCAGGGCCCTGGCAGCCCCGGGCCAGAGCAGCGGGAGAGGTGATGGGAGCGGGGAGCCGAGGGGGGGTGTGTAGAGACCCCACACCGGTGGAGCATGCACCTGCGCAGGTGGTTCAGCATGGCCATGTTGGCAAAGGTGTAGTACAGGTAGTAGGCATAGGGTGGGTTGTCCTCCTCCACCCAGGCCTCGGGGAGAGGGCTCTCCAGGTTGAAGACGTGATTTTCGGGCTTAGACTCATCATCCACACTGTCAAAGCCGTCCACCTGGCACAGGACCCTGGGGTCAGGCCCAGAGCCGCAGCTGCACCCAAAGCAAGCCCCCCTCCCCACGCTCTGCCCCGCACTGCCCCCTCACGTGCTCCAAGAAGAGGTGCAGCTCGGGGTGGCTGGCAGGGTGCACGGTGGCCTCAAACAGTGGCAGGAAGATGTTCTCCAGCATCTCCTGGAAGTTGGCCAGCTGGCCCTTGGTGCGGTACACGTCACTGCAGGTGGGACATGCACACACAGGACGTGCAGGTCAGCGAGCATCAGGGCTCGGCCTGACATCAAAGAAGCGCTTCTGAGCCACACTGGGTGGGCCAGGCTGGGCAGACCATGAGTGGAACCGGGGGGTTTCTCTTCTGCTCACAGGGCTTGGCCGGGACGGGAGAGGGTCGGCCAAGGCAGGCCCTGGCCCCTCGAATTCCGCCCCCCCACGTTCCCTCCCACTCCCAGGGACACTCACAAGAGGCGGGGCACTTGCACCAGCCAGCGCACGTTAGGGGAGTGCACTTTGTGCCTCACGGCCCAGCAGGCCAGCTTGTCCCACTCATCCCTTGAGCGCCCGTAGATGGAGAGTCGCAGCTCCGCGTTCTGGTATTTGCTCTCCTCCAGGTCTGACATCACCTCCTGAGAGACACGCACGGGGCGGCCATTACACTCAGGCTCCCACCGCCCCTATCTCTGCACCCACCGTGTGTGCTCAGCTGGACGTCTTCATGCCCCCTACCAGTCTCCTCACTGGCCTCCCCCGGATACCAGGCTCCCACGTGGGCCACTGAAGGGCTGCTCAAGGCTGCTGCTGCCGCCCCTGCCACGCGGGACCTGGCAGCCACTCCTCCTCACCTTGATAATGTGGGCAAAGTACTTTCCAGAGACCCTGTTGTCCGTTTTGATGAAGATCTCTCGGAGGACAGACTCCCCAATGGGATTGTATTTGGCATTGAACTTGTCAAAGCGATGGAAGGTGTTTCTGTCCTGGGGAAGACAGGCGGGCCTAGGTCACCCCTGCCCCCTGGTCCACACACTGACCCAGCCCCTTGGCCCCTGTGCCACCGGGACAGACCGCATGCATGTCCAGCGTGTCCACGCTCAGGTCATAGGCAGTGAGATTCATGCTCTGAAAGACCTCCCGCAGCGTCTGCTCGCGGCCCTGCTCCACGTGCACGATCTCCTCCAGGTGCCGCTTCATCGCCCGTTTGATGAAGCGCAGCAGGTGCTTCTGGTTCATGCAGGACGAGGCATGGATGTGCGTGTCCACCTGGGGTGGAACAGGGCTTCTGGGTTCCCTCGAGGCCAGGAGAGCCTGGGGCCTGCGCCGTGGGCTGGTAGAGGACTCTGGAGAGAGTCCAGGCCCTGCAAGGGAGGCTGGGCAGGGGTGCAGGGCTGGGCACAGAGCGGGGGCCCACCTTGCGGATATTGTAGAAGTCTCGGTGTGGCACCTTCTTCTGCGCAGCCAGCTCCTTCATCTCGTTGAGCAGCACGTGCATCTGGAACTTGGAGCTCAGGTACTGTAGCCGACGATAGCAGAAGGACTTTCTGGGCAGGAAGAGAACAAGGCAGCGGCTCTAGGCCACAGAGAGGTCCCTGGGGAGGGCATGGGTAACGAGGCAGAGAGGGGAGGCGGGAGGGTGCAGGACTGAGATGCCCGGGGGCCAAAGACGGAGGAAAAGTCTAGTCACTCAGTGACTGTGAAGGGGTAAGAGAAGGTGGCAGGTGTCTGGGGCAGGGCTGAGGCTGGAGAACCCAAGATGGGAAGGGAGCCTAATGTCTGAGACAGGCAGAGACTCACATGGGGCCATTGATAATCAGGGCCATCAGCACATTGACATCTGCCACAAATTCTTGCAGGTCAGGGTACGGCAGCTCCATCTCTGAGCAACTGACACGCAGCAAGAGCTTGGGTGAGAGAGCATGTCGTGCCCCACGGAACCCCCCAAGCCAATGCAGCCCCCACAGGGCTTCCCCCCACCCCCCCAGCACTCCCCACGCCCACTTACTGATCATCAGTTTCCTTGTGGGTGTAGACGTGCACCACGCCCTGTACCATGCGCAGACCCAAGCCCAGGTCCCCAGGCATGGTGCTCGGCTCACAGTGCTCATACGGGTGCTGTTCCAGCGCAGGGGGGTGCACCGGGGCATCTGCAGGGGTGGGGAAGGTGGAGTCAGGGCCAGGGCTCCTCCAGGCCATCCGCTGCCCAGCCCAGAAGCTCCACAGAGGGCGAGAGCTCCTGCCCCTGCCTCCACCCATCAAGTACCAAGAGGCTGGAATGAGCCTGGGTGGGAAGAAGCAGGCAGGGTGGAGGTTCCTGGGCACCAAGCTCAGGGAGCCTGGGACACCAGGGCACCCAGAGAAGGAGCTGGCGGGGATGAGGGGTCCCACCAGCAGACACAGGCGTGTCGGGGCCCTGCTCATAGGTCCGTGTCTCCAGGGGCTTCTCAGCCAGCTGCTGCAGGTACCGGCGGGTGGTGGGACAGAAACTCTGCAGGGACAGGGCCATGTACTTCTCCCGGATAAAGAGTGCCCGCACCACACTCTTGGCTGCATCCAGCAGGTCTGTGAATGGCACCTGGAGACAAGGACATTGGGTCACACTCCTTGGTCTCAGACACACACCAGGCCCACCCTCACCTCTTACCCAAGGCCTTGACCCCAGAAACAGCACATCGACTAGCGAACAGCCAGACCCTTTGCCCCTCCAGCTTTTGAAATGAGAAAAAAGCCCACGCTAGCCCCACCCAGTTCTCAAGCCGGGGGAGCCCGCCAATGGGGCCCTGTGGAATTGAGGGGAGCGAGACCCAAGGCCCTGCCCATACTGACCCCACACTTCTCCTCGCCGGAGATGGTGACCCGCTGAAATTCCCGCTCTAGCACCACATCTCGGTCCCGCAGGCCCCGGTCACCTTGCCCCTCGCTCTGCTCCTTGTAGAGCCTACATACAGGGAGAGAGTACAAGGGAAGGGGCTGGAGCCAGAGGCGGGAAAGCCCTTCCCCACCCCCCACATCCCCACATCCCCCACGCCCCTTCTGCCCTCCTCACTGGAAGTCTGCGTCACTGTCTGTCTTCAGGAAATCTTGCTTGGCCCGAAGCAGGATGTCTGGCTCCAGCCTAGAAATGAGAAGGGCAAGAGGTCAGGCAGGTGACAAGGGACGGATGGCCCTTGTTCTCCGGTCCCTGCACTGTGCTGGCTGCTGTGCACGTGTTGTTCCTCGTGGCCTTGTGGGGCTGTAGAACCCTGCACTGTGCTGTCCTGCCCTGCATCAGATATGAGAAAGCACACCCAGAAGCTGAGCGGCATGTTCTACGCCACTCTGGTGGGCAGAAGACAGAACCAGAATTCAACAGCCCGACTCCAAAGCCTGTGCTTCACACCACTGCTCTATGCTGCTCCCTAGTGGGCCCCAGCGGGAGGACAGGACGGGAGAGGGACAGAGACGAGGCTCTGAAAGTGTCCCAACAGAGACGGAGGGACACTGGGCAGAGACGGAGGGACTCTGTGCCCCCTATCCTCAACCCTGCAGCTGTCAGGCTGTGTCCCCTCCCACCGCTGCCTGGCGGTGTCCCCCCACAACAATGGCTGCGGGCTGTGCCCCACCCCGCACCCCTGCAGCTGTCTGAATCTGCCAGTCCATGGCTGCCTGCTGAACTCTGGGGCTGGGGGCTTACTTGACATCCTGGCTGATCTGCCTCTCCAGGCGCTGCCTCCGCTCCTCCAGCTGCTCAATAGGACTCTCCTCAGGGAACTCGTATGGGGCACTACGGAGCTCGCTCTCAGCCAGGGAGCGGCTGAACAGCTCCTGGTGGGAGGGAAGGAAGGGTCAGTGTGGCCTAGACCTCGGCCGCTGGGCCCTCGCTTGCAGAGTCTAGGGATGGGGTGAGAGCAGCAGGAGCCGGAGGTACCTGGGAGAGGCTAGGGATCAGGGCACAGCCAAGCGTGAAGTAAGGGGACAGCTGAGATGGAGGGGTGTGGGGAGCAGAGACAGGGCACGGGGACAGCGGTGGAGGGACACAGGGGGAGGTGCCAGGCGATACCTCGGCGATCTCCTTGCATTTGCCATCCATAGACGTGCGTAGGTCGAGTGGGAAGTGCTTGAGGCAGGGGGCAGGGCCTGGCAGGGATCGGGCAGACTGCAGCGGAGGGGCCCCCAGCCCACCCCGAGCCTCTGTGGAGACAGTGATGCCAGGGTCAAAGGGTGGAGGGCAGGGCCTGTGCGCACCAGAAGCGCTGGGCCCCTGCAGGCCCCAGGCCCGCCCCAGAGAGAGGCCTGGGCTTGGAAAGTAGACAGTCCCCCCTCAGAGGCTGAGGAAGGGGCCTGCGTGTGGCCTCCAGAGGACCTCACCCTCACAGTCTAGCACAGGGCCCTTCACGCATCCCAGGCTCAGGAGTGGGGGTCCTGGGTCTGCCCCTAGAGCAAGCGGATTCCCTCACTCCAGGAATAAGAATCTGAATCCTGGGCTAGGAACTGCTGCCTCGGTGAGCAGGGGACCCCTACAGGCAGGCTGGCACACGTGTGTACACACACACACACACACACACACACACACACACACACACACACACTGGTGTGGGACTCATTAAGGACCTGGTGACCACGCCAGCAATCCCCAGCCCACAGCCGCCAGGCCAGGCAGGCCGGGATCAGACCCGCCTCTGGCCCCAGCAACCCTCCTCTCAGAAACCCAGGGCCAGCACCTGACAACCCAGACCTACAGAGCACAGGCAAGTCGCAGCTGCCACTTAGCTCTGAACTGGGGACCAGACCCTAAGGGAAGAGGAGGAGAGGAAGTGGAGGACCTGGTTGGCAGCAGTAACCCTACCTCCTCCCCAGTGGCCTGCCTTCTCCCCCAGGACCCCAGGGCTGCCAAGATGTGGCCTGGCCCCAGCCTGCCCCTCCCACTGCTGGCTGCCCCTCCAAAGGGAGCTGCCACAAACATCTGCGCCACTCGGAGGCCCCAGGATCTGGGCCGGAGGCCCCAGGGAGGGCCTGGGGACGGGAGTATCAGAAGCCAGGGCCTCTCCACATGGGGAACAGAACTCCTCAGCTGCACCAGCAAGAGGCTGGCACTAAAGGCCTTGAAGCTGCTAGTCTAGAGGGGCCGCCTGAGCTCCCAGCCAACCCCGAAGGACCCTCCCTGGGCTCAGCAGCCCCACCCTCCCCACCAGGAAGCTCTCCACACCCAGCTGGACTCTCCCCCCAGCCAGCCACGAAGGATATTCCCTTCCAGCACCGACCTTTCCCCTCTCCAGCGCGTCTTAGGGACAAATTGGAGGCTCTGCCCAGGTAGCATGTTTTAAAGTCTGTAGACCCACTTCACAACCCCCCCAGAGTTGGGCCCCAAGGCTGGACAAAGGGAAGAGGAGGTGCCTGCCCCACATCCAGGGCCCAGCCCCTGCTCTTCCCCATGCCTGCCTGGGTCCTACCTGCAGAGTTCAGGCAGCTCCGGCCAGCAGCCCTGTGCCCCTTGCCGGCCTGTTTGCTGAGTGGAGCTGTAGCCAGTCCCCTAGGACAGCTCAGGGGCCGGCATGGGCTGTACCAAGTGCAGCAACATGCAGGGGAGACCCTAGGATGACAGCGAGCAGGGGGCTAGGGAAGCCCAGGGGAGCCAGAAATCGAGGGAAGGAGCATCAGAGTTGGGAAATAAGAGGAACCAACCAGGAAGTGAACAGGGCCTTAACCTCTACAGCACCAGCGCCCAGCCTAAAGCGGAGCCCCCAAGGGGGTGGAGCAAAGTAGGCTGATAAGGGCTGGGCAGTCTGGCTGGGAGGGGCCAAGCCTCCTTAAAATGCACTACCCTTGGGGCACCTGGGTGGCTTAGTGGGTTAAGCTTAGGTCATGATCTCGCGGTTCGTGGGTTCGAGCCCCGCGTCGGGCTCTGTGCTGACTGCCAGCTCAGAGCCTGGAGCCTGTTTCAGAGTCTGTGACTCCCTCTCTCTCTGACCCTCCCCTGCTCACNGTGCTGACTGCCAGCTCAGAGCCTGGAGCCTGTTTCAGAGTCTGTGACTCCCTCTCTCTCTGACCCTCCCCTGCTCACGCTGTCTCTCTCTCTCTCCTAGAAATAAATAAAACATAAAAAAAAAATAAAATAAAATGCACTACCCTTGGGGATAGTGAGTGGGTAGGGTCCTCCTGGCCAAAGAGTAGGGGGGAGTGAAGTGGGGGTGAGCAGCTCTCATTTCCAAACCCAACAGCCCCAGGCCAGCTTCCTCTGCCCAGGGGCCTTGTTTTGCAATCCACGGTCCCCTGGGTCCCCTGACTATGGGGTTCCCTGGGACAAACAAAGCCTCTTCTTGAGAGAGAAGTTGGGTGGCAGTAAGGGAAGTGACTCGCTCCAGGTAGGGACTAGTTACTGAGCTTCTCTGCTGCCCAGGGGGCTGGCTCACGGCTGCCCAGACCTCTAACCCCATGGTTTCAAGCATATCGTTAGAGACAAACCGTCCAGAAGGAGAAGTGTGGGAGATAAGGGACTAGAATTTGGAGGACTTGAGTCTGACTCTGTTCCCACTTACTAGCACGTCTCTGCCTCCTGGAGGCTTCAGGTCCTATAATAACGGGGCGATAAGCGGGTCCTGCCCTGCCTCGCCACAAACTGCCATAAGGCTCAAAGAGATACGGCTCTGCAAGTATTCTGTAAAACACCATAATCTGCGATTATGAACTCCTGGGGGCCTCCAACACCTCCCAATTTCCCACCTACTAGGGAGGGTGAGAGCTTCTGAGGCCCACTTCAGGCCAATAGAAGCAAGCAGTGAAGGGCAGCAAAGAGAACAGAACTTGACAGGGGTGGAGATGGGGGGTGAAACTATCTCATACTTGGAAGAGGGCAGAGCAGGAAGAGGAAAGAAAGATGGGCACCGTTTCCACACACAGGGTGTAAGACAGAGCTCAGGTTCTTGCCTGCCCAAGAACCTTGATCCTACACAACTCCTCTCCACTTCCAGCCCCTGCAGGGGAGGCTGACAGCAGACCTCCAGGGCGGGTCCCTTATCAGGTCATCAGGAGTTGAATCATAACTTCCTGCCTCAGCAGGGTGGCCCCGGATCTCCCCCTGAAACGCAGGGGTGACCAGGAAAGGTTCCAGCAGCCAGAGCCATTCGTCCAGGCTGCAGGCCCCTGCCCAGGGCTGCTGCTGGGGTTCACTAGAGGTGGGCCTAGAAGACCCAGCTGCCAGCCTGCTGGTCCCTTCCTCTGAGTCTGTGCCCCTGCAACACACACACACACACACACACACACACACACACGTCCACCAAAAGCCAGAAGTGACTGCTCCCATCAACTCCAAAATCTTGCCACCTTACCTACCCTCTGACCAGGAGCCCCTCACTCACTGCCAAGACTGCCTAAGTAGGCAGAGAGGTGCCCGAGGCTTTGACCCATAAATATCAGATGCTCCCACCGAGTGACCACCCAAAGGTGTGCAGATCTAGCTGCACAGGGTACAACTGGGTACAATGGCCCAGACCCGGACACAGAAAATACAGACCCTCAGGACAGCGCTGACCTCAGGTCAGGATCTTCAATGGCCTAAGAAAAGACAGGCGCTGGGTGATCAGACTATAGGTACAGACAGCTGCTGAGGGGAGGGGAGAAAAGACGGGCATGACCGAGTACCCAAAATGGGGGGTGGTCCTTCCTTAGCCACAAAACCTGGGGGCAGCAGATGGCAGGTAGATAGCCCTCAGCAAGCACACACTCTGGCAGTCTAGCCCTCAGGGAGATGGTCACAGCCACTCCACGCTGCCTGCTCCAAATGGTGCAGAGATGTCTACCAGAATGGGAGCCAAACCAAAGAGTATCAGAGCACACACCGGCAGGCAGTGGCCCCAGCCTGAGCCCCCAAACAGGCATGGCCCAAGAACACCCCATACTTCTGAGGACACTCCCAAGACAGACCAGGAGTGGGCAAACAGCAAATGATGAGTCCCCAGCCCTGAGAAGCCTGAGAGCAACAAGCGTGCCCTATCATCAGACCCCAAGGAAGGGGATTCCAGATCTGGGGTCCTCGGAAGGGCACTAACCACAGGACAGCCCGAGACTGCCTGGGAAAGACATAGCCGTCAGCAGTGTGGCCGGCCCACAAATCAGTCAGTCCCACACATCTCCCTCTCCATTCACACACACTCCACATGCAAACAGTCTTAGCACATCCACATGCTGACACGTGTGCAAACACACTTCTTGCTGCACCTACGCCCACGCCCACTCCTCATTACAGAGGGCAGCACCCGCGACACGGAGCATAGAAACCTGTCACCCTCCACCACACCGCCCTCTCCACACCACCTCCCAAGCCGGCCGTCCCTGGGATGGAGGACAAGCGGCACCACCGCAGAGAGGGTGCAGGAGAAGGGGTACCCCCTCTGATGGGACCAGTAGCCAGGGCCAGCGGTGGTGGGGGAGAGCCAGTGGCTGAGGCTACGAAGCACACACTCACTCACCTGGTACTGCAGAGGAGGCCTGCAGGCTGGCCAGCTTCTTAAAGGGATATTTGGCCTTGGGACTGCCGGGGCCAGATGGGTTGGATGCCATGGCTCGCGCCGCGGCGATGGCGGGGGGAGTCTGAGCCGCACCAGCTGGGCCTGGCTCTGCCACATCCAACCCCTTCCTCTGCCCCGCCCCCAGCGGGAGTGACTGATGCAGGAAGCAGAAGCCCCGCAGGCGGAAGAGGCCCTGGCCACGATTTCTGATGTTGTCTAGGCAACCTCGGGGAGGGGGACCGCCATCCCCGCCTCTTATCCCTTCCCGTCCCTCCTCAGACCCCGGAGTGACGCGACTGATGGTAGCTGGGCCTGAGGGGTTGGAGGTGAGCCAACAAGATGGGGAAGGGCCAGTCCCTGGCACTCCACTGACCCCTGCGGGGGGTCTTGCCCCTTGCAAGGGATCTGGGGCAAAGGAGTCAAAGTCCGCGCTAGCTGGTCCAGCCAGCATAGGAGAAAAAAATCCTAATAAACAGGAGTCCAGCGCGAGCTCCCCCAAGCGCAGAACACATCTGTCTCAGAGCAGACACACTCCGTGAAAACCCAGCCCCTCTGGGACACAGTCCCCTTTTCTCTTCTCCCTCAGACTCCCAGCCCCAGGGGTAGCCCCGCTCTGGGAGGATGGGGTAGAACTGAGAATCCCGACCCAGTGGGGAGGAGCCTGTCTTGGGAAAATTCCACTGGCCGGCATCCGCTACCTTCTAGGAAGGCAGGGAGGCCAGGAAGCAGGGGCGTCTCTGGGGGGTCTGGCCAGGAGACCGAGCGACTTCTGACTTTTGTCTTTCCGCACCCGGGCTCTGCTCTCCCAGACCCGCCCCAGGAGGAGACGGCCACCTTCCCTAGGGCTGGGGGCTGGGCTGAGACCCCCACCCTCTTGTCACCCTGGCCATGTACTCCAGAGACCCTCCCCCCATCATAGGCACAGACACTCACCTGAGGCCATGCTGCTGGAGCCCGGAGGGGTCTGCGGGAGGCTGCCCGCCAGGGTCGGCACCAAGGGGAAGCTGGGGTCGCAAGGGAGGGGAGGAGGGCTGAACCCAGACCCTGGCCAAGTCGCTCCAAGGCCTCCTGCCCTGGCACTGAGACGGAAGAGGTAAGGGAGGCTTTCAAAATTGCCGGGAGGCGGGAGGCGGACCTCGGCGGACCTCGGCCGCTGAACTGGCCTCGAAGACCCCGGGAGTCCCGACTCCCAGCTCTCTGCTCAGGAGGCGAGCAGGCCACGTGCTCCCCGGAGAGCAGGACCCGGAACTCGTCTGTGCTTCTCTCCACAGTCTCTGGGTGTTCGGGATCGGACCACCGTAGCTGGACTGTGGTGGAGTCACGCAACAGGTGCGACCCCACCGATGCCTAGACAGCGCCTCCGGGCGTCTCTGCCTCCCCAGGCCCAGCTGTGTCCGAGGCCCCGCCCCCTCCGGGCAGGCCCCGCCCCCGCCGGGTTCCTCTTCCCCGCGCCACGTGGGCAGTCGCCACTCCGCAGTTAGCCGGGCGGGTCTTGGGCAAGTCTTGTGCGTCAGCTTCCTCATCAGTGAATTGGGGTGGTGTAATCGCACTTAAGGGAGTTGTTCTGAGCATTAAACGTTCAGCACCTTTGCACAATGCCTGGCACAAAGTCGGTGGCCGATCAAAGATAGTATTGTCTCGGGACTCATTCACTTTTATGTTTTATAAGAGTTTATTTTTAAGTAAATCTCTACACCAAAGGTAGGCCTCGAACTCACAACCCCTTGAGTCATAAGGTCCACCACTGAGCCAGCCAGGTGCCCCATTCATTCACTTTTAGAAGCTGTTCCTGGGCGGTCTCACTCCGGGGTCCTCTGTTTTCCTCTGGCAGGCATAGATAAACGGTGTGCCACGAAATTCAGTTTCCCCTTCATACATTTACTTTTATATTCATTGGTTAAAAGTTTAGGCTCTGTAGCCAGAATGCCTGGGTTCAATTCCAGACTCCACCTACTTTGTGATTGACGGTGGGGAAGTTACTGAACTCTCAGTGCTTCTATTTCCTCTAGAAAATGACTCTAAGAGATCCTGCTTTGTATAGTAGTCGTTATATAAATTAAGTGCTCAGAACAGTGCCTGGCCTGTAGTTACTACTCAGTTAATGTCTGTCTTATCACTACTATGTCCTTGGCCTTGGTTCCTTGTTGACAACATCCCACCGTGATGATTCTCTTGGTGGCCTATAAAGAAATGGAGTTGGGATGTTTGGGGGAACGACACACACCCCACCCAGCCAGCACCCCCACTCCCAAGTAACACAGAATCCTAGCTGAAGAGAACTTGGGGAGGGGGGGAGCTAAGACTTACTAAACATAATTAAGTGTATTAGCAATAATTAATCTTTTCCCTATTTCTCCACCTTGTAGGAGCCCTTTGTTCCCCACACCCAGTTGAATTAATGCTGTTTGTCCAGCTCCTCCCAATTCTCCCCCACAGTCAAATTACTTCCCAAACTCTGCCTCCCCCACCTCTCCCCAGGCTGGATTCTGGACCCTGTACCCTATTATCTGTGTGTATGTGGTGTCACATCTATTGATCTCTGCCTGCCACTCCTCCTCACCCTGGACAAACTCAAAAAAACTATGGCTTCCATAAACATGGGGGTGGGGGAGTTCACCTCACAAAGAAGCAATGAAACAGATAAAACAAAGGAAATAACCATGTTTACCCATCAAATTAGCAAAGATGAAGGGGAAAAAAATCCTAATACAGGCAAGGGTGCAGTGAGATGGGACACGCATACATTTCTGGTTGACATGAACATCAACATAATCTTTCTGAAAGCCATTTGGTAATATATAATCAAGAGTTTTTAAAAAGTTCCTATTACCTGACCCAGTAATTCTACTTTCAGCAATTGTTATTCTAAAGAGCTACTAGAAAAATATGCACGAGTTTGTTCACCACTGCAATGTTTATCACATAAAAAGGCTGGAAACATAAAGGTCCAATAGGGGAATGCATGCAATGAAACACAACCATTAAAAGTTGTTCTTGGAGAATTTCTTAATGGGGTGGAAATATTTACAATGTAAAGTTTGGTTAAAAATATGAAATGTAAAAATCTGTACATATGGTATGGCCCTAATTATGTGACATATACGCATAGAAAACAAACACGCCAAAAAGTTTACAAATGATTATCTGTGGGTGGTAGAATTGGGAATTCTATTTTCTTTATACTTAACTGCATTTAAAAAGATTGTCTACCATGCATATCCATTACTTTTATAATCAAGGGAATAGGAAACAACAAATCTGTAACAGCCTCCACACCCCACTCCCAATAAACTCTCCTGGGTCTTTTTTTTTTTTTAATGTTTTATTTATTTCTGAGAAAGAGAGAGACAGCATGAGCAGGGGAGGGTCAGAGAGAGAGGGAGACACAGAATCTGAAGCAGCCTACAGGCTCTGAGCTGTCAGCACAGAGCCCAACGCAGGGCTCGAACCCACAAACCGTGAGATCATGACCTGAGCTGAAGTCGGACATGCAATCGACTGAGCCACCCAGGCACCCCATAAACTCTCCTGGGTCTTAATCCCAGACTAAATTGGTCTTGGGATCTTTAGGAATTTTCAAGCTGTTGGGCTCTCAACAATGAATGACAAAATAAACCTCGAAATTAAAAATCAAGCAGCAGGTAATCATGTAGAGTGTCATCTATATTCTGATAAAATGCATATTTTGACATAGTTTTAGGTATCTCGCACTGGGCTAGGTCTCATTCGGATTCCCCCTTAATCCGGACCTACCTACCTAACCAGCCCATAGGTGGCAATCCCTGCCCTCCACCCTGCCCAGGGAAACTGGTTCACTAGTCCCTTCATGCTCCTCCCTAGTCCAATCTGCAACACACCCTTCACCCCACAACCCTCCCCTATCTCCAGGCCATTTGGTATGCAGTGCCTGCTAGGAAGTGTGTCCTGATTACAGCTAAGCATCGATTTCCCCACCTACACAACACCAGTAAGAATCTCAGCGGGGTTCACTGACTACGCAAAACCAGAGTTTGGGAAGCGAAGCAGTGAGTCATCCTTTGGCCTCCAGCTTTGCTCATGTTAGGGCCATAATGTTGTCTTTGAGCCTCTGAGATCTTCCCTAGCTCTAAATACAGCTCCCTCCCCTCCTACTCTTCACCAGATGGTTCCTTAAATGGCCCTCCCTGAACCCTAGGCCCCCACTCAAGTGTGCTCCTTAATTCTCTGGAGAAGGCTTGGCTCCTCTTAGCTTCTGGCCCATAGTTCACTTGTGATGTCAGCTTCCCCCCTAGGCCAGACCACTCCCTGCAGACACTGGACTTGGGAGAGAACACCTCCAGCCTCACAAATACCCTTGGCCTGAACAGTTTCCCAAAGCATCATGCTTAGATCCTTCTGGAACCAAGCTACTCAGCTCATTTTTCAGCTTGTCCAAGCAGCCGGTCCTGTCACCCACCCTCTTCCCCAGTCCTCTGACATTGTTTACAGGACTCTACAGCTGAGTCCACAGGTACTAGTTTGTAAGTATTCAAATGGCTTTAGCCACGCGCTGTCATTCCAGGCCCTCGCTGGCTAGCCACAACCCTTTGCTGTCCTCCTCTCCCAGCCCTCCCCTCCACACACCTTTCCCTCTCCTGCCCCACCAATCACATCTCATTTCCCAGTCTTCCCTGCACACGCTTTGCACCTCGGGCCTCACGCCTTTCCTCTCCCAAAATGCCTCCCCCACCAACCCCGCTGTTTCTATTGTTGTTCTGCTTCTCTGTTGGCAAATCTGTTCATTTTAGTTGCTCCCTCCTTTCTTCTACAGAATTTTTCAGCCTGACAGTTAAATGTGTTTATAATTGTCTTTCCTACCAGGGGTGGAGGGTAGGTCTTAAACAGCTCTGAACCCTTCAGCACTCTCCAGCACTACACAGTGTTCCTTTAATTCAACTGTTTCCCGGTGAACTTACCCCACCTCTTCCTTTGGACTAGAAGGTCCTGAGGGCAGTTCTTCATTCTTGTCCCCCCTAAGCCAGCTGGGACAAGTCTTTATTCACAATCCCCATCACTGAAGGTAAGACAGATCCTGAGGTCTCCCCTTAGTTCAGGAAACAGGATTAATTCATTGGGAAATGGTGTCTTTTTTCACTCAAAATGATTGGTTATCAGGATGTGACTAGGACTCCTGAGCTCTAGCTGATTCTGATGCTAATGTGTTTATTAATGTGAGGATCATCTTTCTGTGCTTCTAAATGGGAATGGAATGTACATGCTTTTCCTATTCCACCAGGACACTGAACCCATATGAGATAATAAAGTAAAACAGTCACAGTTTCGAAAGGCATAGGAGCTGAAGACGGGAGGCAGGAGGTCATTGGCATCAGGATGGGGCAGCACAATCAGAGGCCAGGCAAGGGTCAGGAGCTCCCTTACTCAGCTTAGTAGCCGGAATGGGAGCCCAGGAAACTACGAAACAAGTAGGAGCAGCACAAAAGTTTGCAGAGGTGGTAGCTGAAAAAGGATCAAGCTCGAACATTTTCTCCATGCGTCAAACAAGCGAGTGGTTCCTTTAACAGTGCAAGTGCTACTGTTATGGAGCTCATGCATATTGCCTGTGTTCTCCAAGTGTTCTCTCACTGGCTGCTTACGTGGGGTAGTGGGAAGAAAGATCACCTGATCTGTCTGTTTATTAAACTATAGGACCTTGAA